TTGGCAGGGAGAGCTAGAGCACCGGGCTGCCCATGTGTTAAAAGTCATTCAAACAAAACTCCATGAGAATCAAATTAAGAGTACGAAAGAGGGGAGAAAACTACTACCAAATACAAAGGTCTCTGTGCTCAGGGGTCTCTCACGCTCTTTAGCTCACCAGGGGACAGTAAATGCATTTCTTAAAGAGGTTCTATGTTCCCAGATGTTGAAGCTGGATTGATTGTGAATGCTTACCCCCCATCCTTTCTCCACTTTGGGTCATTCTTTACCAGCCTCTCATAACACTCGTTCAATGTGATTTTTGTTAGACAAACGGTCTCATGTTTCTGGGAATGGGAAATGGATAACACGAACACACAGTCATGTCCCTCCAGACTCGGGCTGATTTACACTCTAATCCTCACCCTCCAAGGCAAGGTAGTCTGCTGGCACCCGCTAGCTCTGCAGTAGTGGGTCTGACTGTCTGATTGTCAGCATTCCCACCATAAATTTCTGTTTTTAGAAGTTTATGACTTGGCTATAAAATGCCTCTCAGAGGGGGGTGGATCTTACAAAATTAAGTTACGAGAGAGTGAAAAAATAAATAAAATAAAATGTCTGTAATTTTAGACACTATCTAGTTCTTCTGGAACTTCGAAAAGCCTATAATTGTGCTGTCTGTGCACCCTACTGGCATTCAAATCAATGCTTTGAAGTTCAGTGTTTTAAATAAAAAGTGAAGATACTACCTTTACTTTGAAGAGATGGTTATCAAAGAAGATTAATGTATAGCTTGCTAGTGAAATAATAATAGGGGGTTTTCTTTCTAGTCAAAGAGATTTTAGGATCTCTTACACATGAATCAAAGACCACATCTGGTGGTTAGGAGTAACCAATGGTAATATTCAAAATGTAACCTGCTGAAAAAGTTACGCAGGTTTCGTGAATTGAGATAGTCATAAATTCAAGAGATCTGTACAGTTTACTAGGCAAAATTATAGGCTGGCTGTTCTCCCAATTGAATAAGCATATTCTTTTAATAATGCCTGTGGCACTGTGAACTTATAGAAGAAACAATTTGTGAACCAATAATAGTTGGGCTGATGCTACCGTAGTTTTCTCTAATATTCCAAGACACCCGTCTCAGAATTGGCTTACTATTATCATCAAATGCTATCTCCCTGCATATTGCTACATTCAAAACCAAACAAGCAAACAAAAACAAACAAAAAACTTGAAGTGATTTCATTTATTCATCACCAAAAATTTACTGAGGATCAATTATATGTCAGACACCACTCTAGGTGCTGGGACAGATATGAAGAAGAAGAAGGCATGGTCCCTTCCCTTGAGGAACAGGAAGAAAGATAGATTCATAAGTAGTATATTTTGAGAAAGTGGTAGAGTGTGATAGAGGCATCAACAGGAATCAACTCCATCTGGAAAAGTCTCTAAGAATGAGGCTGAGCAATCTTTTACAGGCCCTCCAGATGATTCTGAGAACCAGTCCTAATGCCCTAAGGCAATGTTTCTCAAATTTTAGAGAGCATCAGAGTCACCTGAAGTTCTCTTATAACACAGATTGTTGCACCCCACCTACCCCCACCCATTGCTGATTCAGTAGGTCTAGGGTGGGGCTCAAAAATGTGCATTTCTACAATTTCTCAGGCGATGCTGAGGCTGCTGTCCTGGAAATTATACTTTGAGAATCCCTGTTCCAAGGCATCCATTGCATTAACTCTCTAGCTATATACTATCCTTGGAAGAATTGAGAAAATAGAGACTCAAATCATCTATTTTGTGGTTCAGAGGGGGTGCACTCAATGAGAAAGTCTGAGCGGAAAAAGGATGATGTTTTAAAAAGGAGAAAAACTTGTGCAAGAGTTAATTTGTGAATGATCAAGTTAGTCAACGCAATAGTCATAGTTGTTCTAGAAAATGCAGAGCAAATGTTAAAGTGTGAGGAAGTAGGAATTTGGGCAGATCTATTTTCACATGGAATAGCCAAAATTATTTTCTCACCCCATCAAATTAGATAAATCGCATGGGATCCTGCTCCTTGGAATTTCAGGTCTAAGATACACCGAGAATGAAATACTTATTCTGCGTGAGTTTCCTGGCTTCTTACAAAAGAGGGGTAGATTCTTTTTTTTTTTTACCTAGGCATAAGAAATCATTGGCTTGACTTGAACCTAGGTTTTTCTTTTCAATCCATATGCACTTTCTGAAATTGGAAAATACATGATTTAGAGTATAGAGATCTAAGTTTCAGTATTGGAATGTGATTGATAATTTATATTCAAAGCTCAAAGTTTTAAAAAACCATTGCTTGGAGTTTAGCCATTCAGGTACTTCACAGAAAGGTAATTATGCAATCTACCACCCAGCCTCCCATCCATCCAACAATGAAAAAGGAAATTTGACTTAAGGAAATGTACAATCCAGTGGGTAAAGAAAGAAATTAAATAGCAAATTCATTACAATTGTGATAAATTTTATTGGGGGAAAAAACCCACAAAAAACAAAACTTTGAAAGGAGCTGTAGCAAGAGCACTCAACTTTGGAGGCTGGAGTTGGAGGTCAGTGAAGGCTTTTTTGAAGAAAAGACATTTGAGCAGATAGCTGAGGGATGAATAGGCAGAAACCAGGGGAAGAGTCACGGAAAGTCTAACAGTCAATAAGGGCAGCTTGTGCCCAGGACATGAGGCAAGAAAACACAAGACCAGGAAGGGGAGCAACGTCAGGGATAATGATGTCAAGGCTGATGTTGGTGAAGTTGGTAAATGCAATCACTCAGGCATATGGAAGGGAAGTCAGCAGGTCCCAGACATGATCAGATTTGCATTTTTAAAGAATTGCTTGTGGCTTCTATATGCAAAACGCACTGAAGGAGGGAAAGGCTGCACCCAGAGCAGGCATAAAATAGTAATTTGAAATTTCCATCCTGTCTCAGTTCCCAAAGAAAAAAAAACTTTATAGGTTGACTCTTTCGTGACACCATATACTATGATTATAGTTTTGCTTCTTACGATTTGCATTACTTAGTTCTACATTTAAGAAGAGTGTTTTTTCATTTTTAAGTAAACTCAAAATGTACAGTGAAGAAAGAAGTGAGAGAAACGAACAGCCCAACATCTGTTTTATGAGCTGAATTGTGTCCCCCCCAATGCACATGTTGAAGTCCTAACACCTAGTACCTCAAAATGTGACTGTATTGGAGATAGGGCCTTTAAAGGGGTAATTAAATTAACCTGAGGTCATATGGGTGGGTCCTAATCCAATCTCACTGATTTCCTTTCAAGTTGAGGAGATTAGGACACAAATATAAAGGGAAGACCAGGTGAAGATACAGGGAAAAGAAGGTCATCAAGACAAGGAGAGAGGCCTCAGAGGAAATCTAACCTGCTGACACCATGATCTTGGACTTCTAGCCTCTAGAACTGTGAGAAAATAACTTTCTGTTGTTTAAGCCACCCAGTCTGCTGTATTCTATTATGGCAGCCCTTGCAAACTAATATACTTTGTGCCAAAAATCCTTTATTTAAAAAAAAAATCACCATAGATCTTAGAAAATATGTTCTCTTGATGAATTTGAAATATGTTCATTTCTCAGCAGGAGTACAAAGGAAGGAGAAACTAATTTGTTAGAGAGAGTTTTTGGGGGAGCAAGAGGTGGGGGAGGCACCAAAGGAATGTGCACGCTGTGTGAAGCAAAACATAGCAGTCATTTCAATGAACTCCCACACTGGTCAGACCTCCAATAGCAGGTTGTACACTATCCAAGAATGACTAATTTGGCAAATTTCAGAGACCCAGGTGGTGCGATTAGCTCTGCCTGGACCATGAAAATCAACAGTTAACAAGGTTCTGAAACCTTGAATGCCCCACACATGCATTCAAGTCAGGGAGATTTTCTTTATTCTGATTATTTCTCTTCAAATCATCAAGCCTGTATCTTGCATATATCCACCGGTCTACTATGAGTAGAACAATGTGGGGAATAAAAAGAATTTTAAGACTTGATCCATGAGCTCTAGGGAGTCAAGTTAGAGATCAGCTAACATTTACGTTATAATTTGTTATCTTTCAAATTGGGTTAACAGAGTTGGATTGGAATAGTTTTCCCAGTGACAGCAGGGTTCAGCATAGGTGGACACACCTGTCTGCAATGGGCTGCCTTCCAGATGGCACTAACATCCATCCGTTCATCCATGTGAAGTCAGCTGGAGACACATAAACACACCAAGCCATGGAGACACAGCTTTTGCTTTTCTTCTTTGTCATTGAGCAGTTTCTTTTTCTCCGTGGTTTCTTTAGCTTTGTTTTTCATGAAAGCACAGCAGGTACAACCATTTTAACTCCATTCCTGGCTGAGATCTTCCTTTGTAAACATTCCCTTCAAGTTAAAATGAAAACTAACTCTTCCTTTTCCGACAATGAAATAAGTGCAATTTGCTTTTTTCTGTTCTGCGTAAAACATCAAAAACACGCAGCCAGGGCCTCTTCAATGCAGATGCTCCCATGACCTCCCCTTATATTTCTGGGTTCCTTGGGACTTGCCAACAATTCCTGTTTCTTAAGTCGTTCCTCTCTTCTCTCTTCTCCTGACTGAGAAATTCTACCATTGCCTTCTTTGGAAATCAATGCAAAAACATTTGAAAGCTTTGTTCACCACAGGGGCTCCTTAGCTTTGAGGTATTGGGCATTTATTATCCCTGGCAGAAATTGGCAGCATCTGATTTTGTTGATCTACAGGCATAGAGAGGACTGGGAACTGGTTATGCGTATCATTATGACCCAAGACACATATAAACATTCTACGTACATAATTTAGCAAGCACCAACGTATTCATAATTACATTAGGATTCCCTGGCTCCAAGCAAAGATACACAGAATCAGTTTGATAAGCTACCTTTTTTTTTTTTTTTGGAATAGTCTATTGCATTGGGCCCTAGTGCTAGAAAGGAATGGAATTAAAAGGGAACAACGAGAAAAGACAAGTCATAGAGCAAGTGTTTACCTGGCAAAGCCAACACCTCTGCTGACTCCATTAGCATCCCTTAGTATTCTTGTGGAAATGACATGTCCAAAGGGTTTCAGCATATTCTCAAGTTCCTGCTCATCCATAGAAATGGGGAGATTTGAGATGTATAGATTTGTTGGGTCTTGCTCTTGTTGCTACAGGAAGCAAAGAAACAAATGCAGTAAGTTCTGAATATTGAGAAACATATTGCACAAATGGATAAACTTTTGATTAAACTGTAATCTAGATTCCAATCTCCAACACACTCTTGAATGTTCTTTCACTAAGGGCATCACTTTTCACTGAATTCTCTTCTTGCCAGAATATTTCTCATAGAAATAATGTCATCAATGAAAACCAAGCTTTCTGTCCAGCTTTCCTTTAGAAAAGACTAATAAACTTCTATTGCAATTGAACTAAGGTAAATAGGTATATTCTTCTCTATTACCACTAACTGCTACTTCTACTATTACCACTCTAACTACCATCACCACTAGTTACTAATGTTGCATTTAGTAAGTGCTCATAGCATGCTAGGTATTGTGTTCATGACTCAATATGTTTTACTTCATCCAGTATTCCCAATAAAAATAATTGTTATTATTTTACAGATGACAAAATTGATCCCTAACTTCTCCCATTTACACAGCTTGTAAGTGTCAAAGCCAGGGCTGAAATCTGGGAGTATCAGCAAAGTGTGTGGGCTTCACTGTTCTGCTATACCGCCTTCCACCGGACCAATGGGAGAAAAAAGTGTGGTCCTAGAACAGTATCATCAGTCTCAGCATCACTGGGGCACTTACTAGAAATGCAAATTCTCAGGCTCTACCTCAGAACTACTGAACCAGAAACTGGAGGGGGGGCCAAGCGATCTGTGTTTTGACAAGCCCTCCAGGTGATTCTGATGACTGCTCAAGTTTGGAAATCACTGACCTAGACCATACATGAATATTTGTATACAAATGAGATTATAATGTCTCTTGTTTTCTAATCCAGCAGCAAGAGTGTTTAAATATGCTTTGCTTAATAGAATGGGAAACCAAACAACAATTGCTAGCCCTGTTTCTATGTGCACGAATGTTCTCTATTTCACACAATGAATTAATAAGTTGGAACTGAGTTACATGTATGTCTCAAAATAAAACACAGCCATAAATATGACATGATTAATCATTAATATCAAAATATATCTGATATTTAACTGAACCATTATATTTTAACCAAAAACAACAACCTTAATTTCAAGGATAAGAGAGATTAAACTGGAAAAGGAAATTCTGAAGTTTATAGGAAATGACATTATGTAATAGTAAAATATCTTTTGTGAAGAGATGATATCATATTCTGTAGAAAATTTGAGCTTTAAGTACAATGAAAAAATACAATAAGCAAGATTCCAAATATTATTTCAGGTCAATAAACAATTTTGGTATGAAGCTTAACTCCATTCTCTTTAACAACTGTAAATATTCAGACAGGTCGTAATATTTTTATTAAGCTTCGAGATGAATAAGATCTATTATTAGGTTCATTTTTAAAACATAGTTTAGTTTTCAAACATTTTTATCTCCATGGAAAATAAAGATATACTCAATCAGAAAATTACAACACAGGGTTAGTATTTAGGAATAGCATAAATGTAAAAACTGTACAACTGTAGTCAGTCTCTGTCTCTCTCTCCCTTTCTTTGTCTCTCTCTCTTTCTCACACACACACACACACACACACACATACACAGACACAGACACCACTAAGAAATGGCATGATCCTAGAGAGAAAACAGAGATAATTATCCTTTCTCAAATGATCATAATCATTTTTTTTTTTTTTTGCTGGGATGGTGAAAAAAAAGAAAAAGTGGTGTTTCGGATACATAATAATGAACTTTATGTATATAGAATTTTCAACTTTTATAGTATTTCCCTACCTATCAGTTAATTTTAATCTTCACATCGTCACTGCAAAGGTAGCTTGGCAAATATCATTACACTTAGTGGATAATGAGGAAATGGAGCCATGAAAGAGTCATCATCTTGCCCAAGGACAATTTGATAATTAGTGACAGAGTTAGAATTAGATTTAGCAACCAAATTTCTTATCTTCCAGCTCAGTATATTTTCCACTAGCCCAAAGTTTCCCAAGCTTTAATCATTTACATATCATCTTAGAAAATTTTGTCATGTACTATTATTTAATTTACTTAAAAATTTTCTTTTTTTAGTGAGGAAGATTGGCCCTGAGCTAACATCTGTGCCAATCTTCCTCTATTTTGTATGTGGGTCGCCACCACAGCATTGGTTGATGAGTGATGCAGGTCCTCGTCTGGGATCTGACCCTGCGCACCCCATCAAACTAGAGCACGCTGAACTTAACCACTATGCCACCGGCCCGGCCCCTTAAAAGTTTACTTTAAATCAACATATCTTTGGTCTTAAGTGCGTTCATTTAAAAAGATAACTTTATGTTGCTACCATAACCGAAAAGCTAGTATCACTTGGCGTAAATAGATTACTGTAAGAAGAGGGAACAAATCAATGTTCTTAAATTATAGCTAGATACTGTTTATTTGCAGAAGGCTTTGACCACTGTGGTTGACTCGCTCTTAGTTACAAATGAGATTTGTAATTAAGAGAGAGATGAGAAGCACACTAGCACCAGATGGAGTCTTTTTTTCCTGGGAAGAATCAGAATTGAGAAAGAATTAAGAAAAGAACAACTTTCTTATGATGTGATTTCTGGATCCTACACACCTAGATCAACTCAAGCTCCATGAGAGATATGTATCGCACAGTCTGGGAGCTCCTGCGTTAACCCAGGGCTTCTCACAGAGTGGGCTGCAGCACACGGTAGTCCCGTGAATGGATTGGAATTTGCCCAACATTCTGCACGCCTTTGTCCTTAATCAGGCTAAATAACCATAAGCAACCAACCCCACTATTTCAGGGTACTGTATAGATCTTTTCATTTTCTCTAGGCAGCCATGTACCAGTTTACCCTGATTCAAATCCACTTCCAAATTCCGCAAGTGTAGAATGCCTTGCAGCTTCTCAAAATGATATACAATAAACACCCAGAGCTTAGTGCATTAGGGATTGCCCAGTAAGCTATTTTCTGAATCCAAATTCAAACAGCAAGGCCAACTCCTTAATTTGTATTCACAGAGACAATATAGCATTGGATAGTGTCATTCCTTAATTTGTATTCACAGAAAGAATATAGCATTGCGCAGTGTTATTTGTTAAGTAATTCTGTCCTTTGAAATGTGGTATTAGTCTTGAATACATTTGTTGATTTGACAACAGAATTTAATTTCTGCATGGAATAAACTTTAAAATAATATATACATTTATATTTTTACTTTCAATTTTATTTATCTATCAGGTTTATGTAAATAGATTGTCACTTTCAAAAAGTTCTTTGGCATTATGAACCAAAGAGCACTTTCCTTTTAACTTTTCAGAAAAACATTCTCATGTGATAATTGCAATCTAAAAGAGTTTTTTAAAAATCCTTTTTTAACTTAAATTTTTATGATCATTTAGCTCTAGAATGGATGTAAGGGGGCATCTTATCCAATCTGATCATTTAACAGATGGAAAAAAACAGAAGCTAGAGGAGTGGTGATGATTTGCTCAAGGCTGCCCAGCTAATTAGTAACAGGCTGGAAATAGAACTCACGTCCTTTTATACCTGATCCAATGTTCTTACCAATTCATGACACTGCCTTTTCTCCTAAAATCCAATGAATAATAGACAGCAGCTTGTGGTCCAAAGGAATATTAGTACAGTCAGAAACAAATATCTCTGAATTCTTTGTTTTATTCACTTTTGCTTAATTAATTAGGTTTACCTATGGAGTTAAAGTTATTAAAAAGAAAAGGTCCTAGCCTTAGCCAGCCTTTTACACATAATCACTGAATGAACACTCTGTGATGTTCTCTAGTTTGTAAAAGTATATAACTACAATTCATAATCTATTACATTTAATTGACCATGTCAGCATAAATAACCCCCCAAGTTTGGTCTGTTTCTACATCTTTTCATCTGTACAGGGATTTCTTGATTTCCTATTTAGTTTTGCAAAAGATCGTGAAAAAGTTAGAAATGTACCCTCTCCATTGTTAATGGGAGCAGAGACGTGTCATTTCACTCAAGAATATGTAAATAATTTTTTTTTCCTGAAATGACTTCCATTTTGTTGGGTTTTTGATGCTTATAAACTGCAAAAAATAAGATTTATTGGCACGCATTTGCTTTTTAACAGTCTAAGACAACTTCAGACCTTCAGAACATTTTAAGGTAGCTAAGCAAATGAATATAAATGAAGGACAAAAAGTCATTGCCCATATCTAGATCAAGTGTTATGTCTGGGACTCTGCTGTTTAGATATGCATTATGGCTATTTTATATACATCATTCTGAAAAAGCTAGTTAGCAGAACAAGATCTCAAAACTTAATCTGATAACACTCATGCTTGACAACACCACATTTAAATATTTAGGAAGTAGCTATTGGTATTAGAAACTTTAGAGCAATGTTTCTCAAGCTACCTGGGGTGAGGACCATTTTTATTTCCAATCCGTCATGGACCAATATTTGTAAAACACAATAAAAATAATTAATAGAAAATAAAATTTAAAATATGCAAAATGCAAGTTGCAATTTTTTATTATTATATTCAACAGACCGAAATTACGTCTTGATTCAATATCATGTTAATGTGAAATTGTTATAAAAAGGTTTTAAATGCTTACTCTCAATTTCTATACTTATTTCATTGAGAACAAGTACCATTTGGTGGACCAAACTTTATGTAACACTGTTTTAGGGGACCATATTCCCATTTTCTTCCATCATAATGTAATATGTACGGGTCTTACTAAGTTACTAGTTTTTGCTTGCTTTATATACTATCAAGTCCCTTTTTAATCATAAAATTGTGTATAACCAATTTATAGTCATTTTTGAACTATGAGGTGGACAGAGATGTCTCAAGATGAATTATCTTGACCAGTAAGGATAAAACATCCAGAAATATCCTGTGGAAGTTTGAAACAACTCAAAAGCAAACATGTGACTGTAATACTTTAAAAACACATTGAGAAAGATGGTCATATAGACTGAAGATAATAATACTATTACCTTACATAGAGC